CCCCCCCTCCTCGTCACCTCCACCCTCCTGCGCTCCTCAACATTGCGCACCAACACTACCCGTCATCTGCTTTGCACATACACTGCTCCCAGTCCAGCTTTGGAAAGAGACCTCTATTCTACTGTCTGCTGCATGTTGCATTGTAGACCCAACAGGAAGACCTTTGTCTCCTGTACATACATTTGCACATCCTCACAGTGTCTTCTGTGAGCGCAGACCAAACAATCACTGGTCCTCCATTCAGATGAGCCCAGACACTGCCGCTGCCGCCACTGCGCTTCAGGACGGAGCGAGGTGGCTGACGTCTATGACCGAGACAACTTGCTGATGAGACGCAGGTTGTGTTTTCTCTGTGTTTGCTCTCAGGGCCTGTGGGCTAACCAGTCAGTGTCTGTTTGCGCTCCTCAGTGGTTAATGGCCACACCATCCTCCTCAGAATGTGAAACTCAAAACAAAGGCTTTGAAGCAGAATGTGCAAAAAAATCTTTCTGCAGTGCGTGCTAGGAATCCCTGTTATCCAAATCATAGCCCCTTTTTAAATTCACCCATTATCTCTACCTTTTTAATTGTGAGCATGAGCCTCTCCATAGACCTCCAGTCAGATGTGTCAGCAGAAGGAAGAGCTTCACATTAAAATACACATTAAAAAGTGGGCTAGCTTCCAGAGTAAATACAAGGAGCTGTGGTATCCCTTCTTATTTGACCTCAGTGTTGTTTTGCGTTTTGTCTTTTCTATTCAGTAGTTCACTTTGTGTCATTTGTTTGCAATAGGACATATTTTATCTGGTCTGTGAATGGCCTAACGGACAAAATAGAGGAGGGTCACCTCCCTATACAGTAGAAGTTGTTTTTAGTTCACATGTTGCCTTAGAAGTTGCCTGCATTTTAAGTGCTTGTGTTATGTGATATTTAGTGGGGATAAAAGTTGTTTGTTTTTTTTTAAAGATATTTTTGATCTACTGAACATGAATGAAATAATAACGGAAAGAAGAGAGATAGATGTGTATCATTGAACTGATAATGTAAATGTCTGCCAGCAGCTTTATTCCCAGGACTATGAAATGTACGTTTTTTTTCTTGGTGTCTCACATCTCGTAAGTATTTTTGCACAGTTGCTATTTAATCAGGTTATATTCAAATTGTATTTCTCATTATACTGGTTCTGGTTTTAAACATCCAAGACTTAACAACATCTTTCTTTTTAAGTCCTCCTCTTGAGATCGAAATGTAACACACACACACACCTCTTTTTCGAAATGTTTCATAAGTTATTGGGAAGGGGGTGCAGCATATGACATCAAGGAAGGCATTATGAAATAAACAAAATGGTGAAACGATGTGATGTGTGTGTTATTATGGAGGATGAAACTACAGAGACTAAAACCAATAGAATATACTTTTTAAGGCTATACAGTTAGACATTTTAACATGGGGGGGTCATCTTTCAAGGTGGACATTTTATTCAGATTATTATTTTTTGTATGACAAATCTAACAAATTTAAAAATGTAACAAACCCACATACAGATTCAAAAAACACAACCAACCTGTACAATCATGTCCAACATATCCAAGATTCCTTTTTCATTCCTGGCTTCTCTTACTTTAGTAACAACAGTCCTGCTACAGTAAGAGAGATTTCAACCCAATAAGTCGACTCAGGGTGACATAAAAGGCAGTACTGGCAGCAAATAGTCAATCTTAAACACAGACAGGTCAGTTGGCTGCTGTCTAAAACTATAATATATGATAAATAATATATGATATCTAAACATAATAATCCAAAGAGGCTATAATGCAAACCAAAAGCTACAACGATGCTGCAGCCACTGAATCACTAAAATTGGAGGAATGCTGCGTAAATAAAGTCCCATAAGTGCTCTTGAGGCAACCCGTCAGCCAGCAGACAGTGTCATTGTCTCATCATTAAAACACAAGGAGCTCAGACTGTGCCTTTTTTCGTTTGTTTTTATCTTCACTTACAATTTTAGATGTATTTCTTTAGTCAGTAGGGAGAAAGTGTCTGCATGTTAAGACAGACACTCCAGTTAATAGAATAATCAACAAACTCTAAAGCTTTTATCAAAGAAAATTTATGTTTACTTAGGGAATAATATGTCTTGTTGGTGCAGAGTGGGGAATATTTCTGCACACTCAAACTAATAGATCTATCATTTATTCATGTATCCAGTAAAACAATTCAAATATTCTGTCATTGTAGTTCATAACATGAGGAAAAACAAGACATTACAGACATTTTAAACAGCAGAATTTTGAGCCCAAATCTGAATCTCTGCTGCAGTGCCTCCAGGCAGACAGCAGGTGGTACTAAACACACAGTCTTTGTAATGGAGCCACATAGCTGTGGATCTATTCTTCCTCAGATAAAGAACCATACATGCTCTGCCTACTGATTGCCACAATGAGTGTGAATGCCTATTTTCACACGCTACACTATATCAATTTTGTGCAATGTGCAATCTTATGAGTGGAGCAAATTTGGCCACCAAATCTGTCTCACATAAGACGCATCTGGCCATTGACAGTAAGGAGCAACCCCCCCCTCCCCC